CAAACTCAAAGAAGGAGAATGATTTCCGTCACGAATTTCACAAGAAGATTAACCGAAAACCCTCATTGGATTACCGAGACTTATCTATTATTTTTTTAACTGTTTTCCAGCACTTTTTAATAGCTTTTTGTTTCTAATTTTGTTGCTCTTTTTTTCTAAATTTTCAGATGCTGCCCGGTGAATTGTGTCGTCAGTTCGTGGTCTAGTTGGGGATCTTGCAACGCGCGTTGCGAAAGTAGTGGTCAACAAACACGCAGCCGCAGGGTAACAACTGCGGCTTCTTGCAGAGGTACTCCCTGTCCAACACTGACACAAACAAAGTCTTGCCGAGGGTCCTGTTGCCGAAGAGATTGTCAGGTACACTCAGTTCATAGATGATATTATAATTCATTTAAGTTCATTCTAAGTCATCCAATGTTATTTTAAAAACTAAAAGTAATTCAGCACAAGTTTAACATCTACTGTCCAAAAACCTCGTCGAGGAAGTCGAACCCTGTCACGCGCGTACCGTTTACGTAATGCACACTCCCAACACACTTAGACTCGTCTCGGCCAGAAGAAAAAAATACAGCTATCAAAAAAATTTCATCAACTTTTTTTTCGTCGATCGACTTCGTATTAATAATGTTTCTTTAGCAGCTCTTTTTCACGGTGGCCATATTGTTATGTGCATTGGTAGATGTACAGTGCAAAACCAGCGATTCACAATACACTGGAATTTCTGTTCAGGGGACACCATCGGGACCCGTCGAGGCGTCCCCTGAATAGAGGATGGGCTGAGGTTTGTTAATGAAACAAACGAATAAAATCGTCAGTAACTTATCTGTGTGAGATTTTATGTTGAATTTACGCAAGTGCAGTAAAATTGTCTTAAGTGAGATAGTTCATTTTGTGAAAGTTTCGATAATTGTGATCACTGTACACTTAAGGATATCAAGCCTCTCTGTGGTCAGTTACTCTTTTAGTTCCGGCTGAGATGTCCCCTGAATGGAGGTTCAACCCAGGTTTCGGGACCCAGAAATAGTGTCCCTTCAATACCAGTGTCCCAAAGGAGTGGTTCAACTGTATTGCTTTCATGTTTCTTTTTTTTTCATTCAGGTCAGCAGTTGGTCAGTTTGGGGGTCATGTTCTGCACCTCCAGGCAGTTGCAGCACGAACAGTGGTACAAGAAATAGAGGAAGAATATTGACTTCATATCCCAGCTGTGGAGGATCATCTTGCCCTATATTAACCCAAAAATCTCAATGTACACCTGTTCCAATCCCTTGCAAGGTTATTCTTATTATTTGCTGCTTGTTTGTCAAGTGTTTTCTGTACATTTGTCATAATCTTTAACATGAATCTTCATCTTTAAAATCAACACTAGGGAGCTTTAGCAACGACTACAGGTCATCGAAAACTATTGAAATGAATTGGCGTTTTTACAATAAACCAGACTGAAAGTTTACTGCACGTTTAAGATTGTTGTTGTGCTTTTTAAACTAGTTTCTTAATTTTTAGCGTTCTCTTTGCCGTCGCCGCTGTCGTTGCTAAAGCGCCCTAATGTCGACGTCAAAACGAGAACCTGCATATCGCCATTCTCATCATTAACCTCCACAGTATCAGTGGGAACATCAGCCTCAGCTCACACTCACTATCACCACCATCATCATCCTCAGTATCATCATAAACAAAAATAGTCTATAATCGCCAAGATCGCACAAAAAGTCAGTGCAATCAAGCACATTCAGATGTAATTCTGTCTCAGCGTTGGATTACTATGAATTCTGTCAATTGCTTACTTTCTCAATAACATTGTAAAAGTCATAAATTCACATCGTCATTAACTCATAGAGGAATATTCCGAATGTAATTACTTATTTCCACTGGCTAAGTCAAAGCCCGCGTGAATTCTCCCTCCGACCTTATAGTCTTCATTACACAACGTGCTATGATTTTTAATTCATTATTTAGATGAATGCGTGGAGTAAGTGGAGTGCGTGTTCCCCAAACAATGGCAAATGCGGAGCTGGTACTCAGTATCAGATACGTACCGTAGCTACCCAGCCATATTGCAGTCCCGCGTGTCCCGCCACGCGACAGACACGCTCGTGTACGCACAGTTGCTGCCCGAGGGACTGCGCTGTGTCGTCTTGGGGTTCTTGGAGTGCGTGTTCTAACATCTGTGGAACAGGTGGGTAATAGAAGGCCTTTTTTTGTACTGATATCTCTTAATGAAGACCTCTATTTAGACATTACCGTAGCCAGTCAATAGGCCTTTCCCTATGGGTTCAAGGGAGATCAAAGGGGCAGAAGGAAAACTGCTGAAAGGGTGTTCTTTCACTGTATTGCCTACTATTGAGCCTGTTAATTCACACGCTAAAATTACAACTACACCTGTATTAAGTGGTTTCCCTCGGGGATGGCCAACTGGAAGCTTGATTCATGCTTAACCAACTAAACAGAAATCAAGAAAGGGTGATAATGGCAAGGAGAAGTATCCGGAGAAATACAAAATAAACTCAAAAGATTTTCTGTCTCGTTGTGGCAAAAAGAAACGACTGGATTTTCGAGCTCTAAAGGGTATCACACACAAATCTGTTTAGTGCGATGTTATTGTTACCTCTTGAGAAAGTGGCCGTTTTATAGGTGACGACAAGGAAAAACCGATGAAACTTAAGAAAATGTCTGAAAAAAAAGTGTGAAGAGCTTTTTTGTCGAGAACCAATAAATGAGCCTTTGTTCACATTTTATTTTTATATATATCCATCATTTTGAATTTCAAGAAGTAAAAAAAAAATAGATAAAATCATTAAATAAAAAAGTAAAAAACAACAAAAAAAGATAAATAAATGAATTAATGAATGAGTGGTACAAAGATGAACTGTAAGTGCCGATTCAAAATCATTCACGCTCAACCTCGTCCCCGCCCTGGGGACGAGGTTGATTCACGCTGGGTTGATCTAAAATCGAACAGGGTAAAGTGTCCCATTAATATAAGGTTCTAATAAAGAAATTGGATTTGTGCTGCTGTGACTACTAATGTTTATAGAACGATTTCGAAGAAAAAAAAAAACTTTTTTACCACTGATAAAAATAGACTGAACAGCGTATGTGCAAATTTACGTTTGGTCCAAGGTACTGGATAATTTCATGTTTTTGACTTTTCTATTTCAATTACTCCAGTTTTAGGAACTATCGGCATGTCTGAACAGGATTAAGTTATTATTAATAATAAATATGAAGATTTTAATCAGATCTTAATGGTTCGCAGGTACAAAGACAAGAACACGGCGCGTTACTGCTAAACCATATTGTAATGGAAGAGCTTGTCCAGCCTTGAAAGACGCAACAAAGTGTTCGCAGTACAACAACCGCGATTGCGCTGTGTCGTCTTGGGGCTCGTGGAGTACGTGTTCTAACACCTGTGGAACAGGTGGGTTATAAGAGAGCCTGTTTTTTGTACTAATATCTCCTGATGAACACCTCTATTTAGACATAACCGTCGCCTGTGAACAGCTGTGTGAATAGGCCCTTCGTTATGGGTTCAGGGGAGATATAAGGGGCAGAAGGAAAACTGCTGAAAGGGAGCTCTTTCACTGTATCCGTTACTATTGAATCTGTAAAATTCACAGGATAAATTTACAACTACACCTGTATTAATTGGTTTACCTCAGGGATGGCCAACTGGCAGCTTAATTCATGCTTAATTAACCAACCAAACAGAAATCAAGAAAGGGAGATTGTGGCAAGGAGAAGTATCCGTAGAAATACAAAATAAACTCAAAAGATTTTCTATCTCTTGTTGTGGCAAAAGAAACGACTGGATTTTCGAGCATTAAAGGGTATCACACACAAATCTGTTTAGTGCGATGTCATTGTACTTCTTGACAAAGTGACCGTTACAGGTGACGACAAGGGAAAAAAACCGATGGCACTTAAGAAAATGTCTGGAAAAAAGTGTGAAGAGTTTGTTTGTCAAGAACCAATAAATGAGCCTTTGTTTACATTTTGTGTTTATATATATCCATCATTTTGAATCTCAAAAAGTAAGAAAAATTAGATAAAATCATTAAATAAAAAAAATAAAAAACAACAAAAAAAGATAAATAAATGAATTGATAATAAATTAATAAATTGAAAAATAATAAAAAAACAACACACCAGGGGAAAAACAAAAACAAAAACATTGGTGCAGTTAGGAATTCTAAAAAAACGTAGACAAAAATACGAAATGACTGAGTGGCACAAAGATGAACTGTAAGTATCGATTCAAAAGTATTCACGCTGAGTTGATCTAAAATCGATCAGGGCAAAGAAATTGGATTTGTGCTGCTGTGACTACCAATGTTTATAGAACGATTTCGAAGAAAAAAAAAACTTTTTTACCACTGATAAAAATAGACTGAACAGCGTATGTGCAAATTTACGTTTGGTCCAAGGCACTGGATAATTTCATGTTTTTGACTTTTCTATTTCAATTACTCCAGTTTTAGGAACTATCGGCATGTCTGAACAGGATTAAGTTATTATTAATAATAAATATGAAGATTTTAATCAGATCTTAATGGTTCGCAGGTACAAAGACAAGAACACGGCGCGTTACTGCTAAACCATATTGTAATGGACGAGCTTGTCCAGCCTTGAAAGATGCAACAAAGTGTTCGCAGTACAACAACCGCGATTGCGTCATGTCTTCGTGGTCATCCTGGTCAATTTGCAGCAATGGCTGCGGAAGCGGACAGTCCACCCGAACACGCCAAATAATATCGCCAGCAGTATGCCTCGGGAAGGCATGCGGGGCTACAAACCAGAGCAGGAAGGGGTAGTCCATCATGTACGCCTTCCGCGAAATATACTAATCTTTATTTGAGTCATATAAACTAGGCGCAAATTGTCCTAAACATCAGTACAGGCTGTTACGAAATGCACCTTAGATCAAGAACGTATTAGAGGCACCACTATTCCTTACTACTTCTAGCCGTTACCTTGTTATCTCTGTTAAACTGTACCTCTATCGCCCTTGTTTACTTCAATCATGGACAAAAGTCTCCGGACACTTTAAAAATTTGCATTTCTGGGGCGTTTTCCAATTCACACAGGCCCAACCCCTCCCCTCACCCCACGAACAATGTTGGACGCGTGTATCCAGAATTTTTTCCGAGTTTCAACTTTGTATAGGGTTGAGTAGGGAGAACTGCAAGAAAATTTCAAAAAGGATGCACAGTTTTACAATGGAACCCAGATTGACAGATCTAAAAAAATAATGCATTCAAAGACTGCAAATTATAGTAGTTGGTAAAAATATATCTACGTGTCCCAACTGTTCATCAGTAGGATGCCTAAAATGCGTGCAATTCCACAATTGGTTTCGGCTCCATTAAATCCTATACCAACTGCAGAACATTTTAGGAGGAGCCACTCACCATGTGAACGCTGTCGTGGAAAACGCGTAGAAGTGAGGAAAATAACGCAAAGCGAAACTAAGACGTTATTAAAAGAACTAAATGTACACGCAACTTAAATAAATAAATAATGCACGCGCCCAAAATTAAATTGCGCGCGCACACGTACCAAGATACAACTGAAATAAAAATTCAAGTAATAAATAAGCAATGTGAGGATACGATGGTGGAATTTAAGCCTGGATTGCTAATCTCATCTCCCGCAGGGCTGCACCATACTTCTCTACGATAAGACCATGGCGACTGACGAATTACAGTCCCAGAGACTTCTGTCCATGATTGTCTGAATCCTGGTTTTTGGGGGAAAAAAAGTCAGTTTTCTCCATTTTTCCTACCCCTTTTAGGCATTTTAGAGACAAGTAGGTGATCATATGCAATAATAATGACCTTTGAAATAATTTTCTCAACATAGCAAGTTTTTATAAGACAATTCTCTCATTAGCCATATCGGGCCCATTCCCCTAAACTGGAGCCAAGTACAGCGGAAGTNAAAAAATAAAAAACAACAAAAAAAGATAAATAAATGAATTGATAATAAATTAATAAATTGAAAAATAATAAAAAATTAACACACCAGGGGAAAAACAAAAACAAAAACATTGGTGCAGTTAGGAATTCTAAAAAAACGTAGACAAAAATACGTACAAAATGACTGAGTGTCACAAAGATAAACTGTAAGTATCGATCCAAAAGCATTCACGCTGAGTTGATCTAAAATCGATCAGGGTAAAGTGTCCCATTAATATAAGGTTCTAGTAAAGAAATTGGATTTGTCCTGCTGTGTGACTACCAACGTTTATAGAACGATTTCGATGAAAAAAAAAAACTTTTTAACCACTGATAAAAATAGACTGAACAGCGTATGTGCAAGTTTACGTTTGGTCGAAGGTACTGGATAATTTCATGTTTTTGACTTTTCTATTTCAATTACTCCAGTTTTAGGAACTATCGGCATGTCTGAACACAATTAAGTTATTATAATAAATATGAAGATTTTAATCAGTTCTTATTATAATGCTTCTCAGGTACAAAGACAAGAACACGGCGCGTTACTGCTAAACCATATTGTAATGGAAGAGCTTGTCCAGCCTTGAAAGATGCAACAAAGTGTTCGCAGTACAACAACCGCGATTGCGTCATGTCTTCGTGGTCATCCTGGTCAATTTGCAGCAATGGCTGCGGAAGCGGACAGTCCACCCGAACACGCCAAATAATATCGCCAGCAGTATGCCTCGGGAAGGCATGCGGGGCTACAACCCAGAGCAGGAAGGGGTAGTCCATCATGTACGCCTTCCGCCAAATATACTAATCTTTATTTGAGTCATATAAACTAGGCGCAAATTGTCCTAAACATCAGTACAGGCTGTTACGAAATGCACTTTAGATCAAGAACGTATTAGAGGTACCACTATTCCTTACTACTTCTAGCCGTTACCTTGTTATCTCTGTTAAACTCTACCTCTATCGCCCTTGTTTACTTCAATCATGGACAAAAGTCTCCGGACACTTTAAAAATTTGCACTTCTGGGGCGTTTTCCAATTCACACAGGCACAGCCCCTCCCCTCACCCCACGAACAATGTTGGACGCGTGTATCCAGAATTTTTTCCGAGTTTCAACTTTGTATAGGGTTGGGGAGGGAGAACTGCAAGAAAATTTCAAAAAGGATGCACAGTTTTACAATGGAACCCAGAATGACAGATCTAAAAATATATTGCATTCAAAGTAGACAGACTGCAAATTATAGTAGTTGGTAAAAATATATCTACGTGTCTCAACTGTTCATCAGTAGGATGCCTAAAATGCGTGCAATTCCACAATTGGTTTCGGCTCCATTAAATCCTATACCAACTTCAGAACATTTTAGGAGGAGCCACCCACCATGTGAACACAGTCGCGGAAAACACGTAGAAGTGAGGAAAATAACGCAAAGCAAAACTAAGACGTTATTAAACGGACTAAATGTACACGCAACTTAAATAACAAATAATGCACGCGCCCAAAATTAAATTGCGCACGCACACGTACCAAGATACAACTGAAATAAAAATCCAAGTAATAAATAAGCAATGTAAGGATACGATGGTGGAATTTAAGCCTGGATTGCTAATCTCATCTCCCGCAGGGCTGCACCATACTTCTCGACGATAAGACCATGGCGATTGACGAATTACAGTCCCAGAGACTTCTGTCCATGATTGTCTGAATCCTGGTTTTTGGGAGAAAAAAAAAGTCAGTTTTCTCCATTTTTACTACCCCTTTTAGGCATTTTAGAGACAAGTAGGTGATCATATTCAATAATAATGACCTTTGAAATAATTTTCTCAGCATAACAAGTTTTTATAAGACAATTCTCTCATTAGCCATACTGGCCCATTCCCCTAAACTGGAGCCAAGTACAGCGGAAGTTGGTCAGGCACGAATGTATCGAGCATCCCGCACAGTACTCGGTCGCAAAAACACAGTGTATTCAGGGGCACCCAACGTCAATTTTCGGAAAATATCTGTTCGGAAGACAATTTGAGATCTGGAATTTTCGGAATATTGTTGTAAAATTTCTTGCTTGCGTGCCTCTCTTAGGATTTTCGAACATCTAACAAATGGTATAATTGCCCGTTTTTAACGGATTTTTGCCCTAAAAAGGTCACCTAGAATTTTCGGGAGCCTTTTTTCTGGCTGAAATTTTCGAAAAGGTAAGTTTAGATCCCTATAATTTTCGGGTCACTAGACTTTCAGCTATAAAATCCGAACAGATGAAAAATTTTTAGGGGATAAAAATATACCTATATATACCGTTTAAATACTAAAATACGTTTAACAATGCTATGTTTAAGTCATGTAAGTGGGTTTGAACTATATTCTCGTTGGGTGCCCCTGTGTATTATGAATCGATATTCGCAAAAATTAACTGAAACACGGCTAAGACATATTTCAACAAAATATTGATTGCATTTGAAATAATATGCTTCAAAAAGGCCATCCCGTAAAGTGAATACAAGAGTACTCGCTCGATTCAGTAAGGAGAAATGATCTTTTTCATGATTTTTTTCTTTCCATTTTAAAGTAAGCACTGAGACTAGAAAGCTGAAAATTGTGTTTTCGCTGTTAATAAAAGCGTCAAAGGATGTAACTACAGATTAATTTTCTCCCATTATCTCGTAGATGTTAAGATTCTATAGAAAAACCCATATTATCAAGGTTTTAGAGTGAGTACTGTTGGTGAGTACTGTCGAGCTATGCAAACAAGAACGCTCTTAGTAGGGTGAGTCTCGCTTGCTTGGAGATAAGATACAAAATAAGGAGGCGATTAGGACTGTGTCTTAAAGTACACACGAATGACGACGAGTGACTACGAATGACTTAAGTGAGAATTCACCAAAATATGAATTTTCTATTATAATGACATCATTATTACGTTATCTTTAACCGCAAATAAAACATTTCTAGAGTTTGAATAATTAAAAAAGCACTGGGAATTTCGTTTACTTTCACCAAAGTGGGTCGGGGACAAGGAGGGACCGGAAGGAATAGTGTTAAACCCTAAATTCCCCCTCCTTTCCTGGCCTTTTTACGTCATAACATGTTACGAAATGCTATCGCGTTTCTTCAGGTTCCGCCATCTTGAAAATCCCGCTTTCCACTCGCTCGTTACCGTTCCAGAGCAGA